ACATACCCGATTTCCGCAGCAAGCCCCAGCGCAGCCTAGTATAGATCCCACGAAAGACAGTATCAACAAAAAAACATAGAGAATAGTTGCTGCAGCACTGGCATACCGAACACTTTCTACATCCGAGCAACTTGTGCCAACTACAAAGATGATAAATGATAATACAACACACAAATTTACACGAGCGTTTGAGTCAGGAGATGTAATATTTTAAATCCGACTGTCAAGACTGAACTAGATTTCAAGTCCGCGTAATTTGATCAAGTGCGCCCATTTGATCACTGGAATATGATCACTGGATCAAAATGCGAGGGTTTGAAATCTAGTCCAGCCCGACTTGGAGGATTTGAAATGATATCTCATACGAAAAATCACTACTTAAGGTGAGGTGAATTACACCCGTTTTCAAAATTACGCGACCTCCCTGAAAAATACTCTTACTTCAAATGTCAGTTTTATGTCACAAAAACTGCTAAAAATAGCAAACGTAAACAAACTGTCAAAAGGCATTTTAAACCGTATTTAATATCAAAACTGAACAAAAATGAGTGAGATAACTTAGATATACAAGCTAAAGCACAATACAAACCATCACAACAGAAATATGTGCCGTGAATAACTTTTCAAGTTTGAAAAATAACAATTTATCCCGGAATTTAGCTGTCAGTATAAAACACGCGCGCTAGACTATAACGGTGATGTTATGATTTTGTTTGTGCTTAAATTTTGCAATAATTCTCACTAAAATATCTTGAAAATCATTGTAAGGCTGTTTATATAAAGCATACAGAGCATATACATCGACAAGGGAACCGCAAAACTCAAAGTTTAAACTTCGTGACCGAACGACATAAAACTGACATGTCAACTCTAGCATTTTCGTCCTTGGTCGCGTAATTTTGAAAACGGGTGTAATTTACTTCATAAGGAATGATGACTTATCTTGCAAACAATGTAAAATTACAGTTAAATACCATGAATATATATGTCATCCTTCCATAACTCCGAACTTCTTCATTTTAATCAATTAAACTCGAATGTGAATAAAGTGCACAAACAAAACAGCTCGCGTGTTTTTACGCGTGTACACACGTAAAAACGCACAAGTTGTAACAAACCTGCAGCAGACTTGTAGCAATGCTGTTCCAACAACTTGTCAACAGAATGTGTTCGCACTGCTTGTTCCCAGCTTGTTGGCAAGTTGTCAACAGCTTTCAATTGTTGACAACTTGCTACAAGGTTGTTGAGCTCAACATATATTTTAATAGTTGTTCCAACAACTTGTTGTCACCCTGTAATTCAACAACTTGTCAACAAGTTATGAGTCACAACCCTGTGGCAACGTTTGATAAAATAACACATTGTTACAACTTGTTGACTTGTTACAAGCATACTGCGAACACATCTTGTTGACAAGGCGGCTAGCCGTGCATACGAGGTTGGTCATTATCAGTACTGAACTTACATATAACTGATTCTGAGTTCACATATACTGCATTTATACAAGTGCATACATCCCCAACAGTAAAACAAGCTTGATTAAGTGCAACCCAGACAGCAGCTGAATACGTTATCCCAGCAATGGCAAGCAAGATTCCAAGCACATTTGCACCAATGCTAACAGCCAACTAATAAAAAATATGTTTTATAAGATACATCAACTCGCGTTTGTATGTGTGTTTGTCTACCTGTAAGCACGATGTAACTTACGCATGTAGAACGGCGACACGACGAATGTACGGCCAAAACAAATTCCTTCAAATAAATGATAGTAAAGAAAACTTGTTGCATATTATAATTCGTATGAATTTACTACAGTATAAGAAGTTGAAAACACTGATTGGCTTTATGTTTGGGAAGAGTTCTACTGAACTGAATTTTAAGTTGCACTTGTTACGACTTGAAATGCAGGCGTTGTATAAAAGACGTGAAAATCTGTGATTTGCCGTTGTAAACAGAGAGACGACGACGTCTGAAACTCCCCCGGGACTTTAATTATCTATTTCTTTTCATTGACTCATTGTATTGGTTGCCGTCGTCGTTGTGTTGCCGTCCTACTTAAGCTCCCTACTGATTTCACAAATTATCAAATTATCCACTCGGAGTGCGGTGTCAAAGGAATTCCGAAAATTTAGTTTAGCGCTGAAGCTTACCATGGCGAAATACCTTCCAAATCCAGCCACAAGAAGTACAATAGCAGGAATTAAAAACTGCGGGATGTAGAAAAAATATTTAAATCAATCACATTTAAATGGTTAAATGTGGTATAAAACGTGCTAAGGAATGATTGACACGAATT